ATAAGCAAGTCATAATCAAAAAGTAGAGAATGAAAGACAAAGAGAAAAGCTTAAAGGAAGTCAAAGGGAAAAAACACCTTACCAGTAGAGCAATAATGTTATGAATTACAGTGGACCTGTCATCAGAAACCACATATGCAAGAAGATAGTAGAGTGAAATATTTAAAATGTTGGAGGGAAAAAGAAAATACCAACCTAGAATTCTATGTCTAGTATTATTATCCTTCAAAAGTGACAGATATCCAATCACTATGAGGTATACCTGAAACTAGTAGGATATTGTATGTCAATTATACTTCAATAAAAAAAATTTTTTTTTAAGTGAAGGAGTAATAAAGACTTTCTCAGGGCCGGCCCGGTGGCTTAGCGGTTAAGTGCGTGCGCTCCGCTGCTGGCGGCCCGGGTTCGGATCCCGGGCGCACACCGATGCACCACTTCTCCGGCCATGCTGAGGCCGCGTCCCACATACAGCAACTAGAAGGATGTGCACCTATGACATACAACTATCTCCTGGGGCTTTGGGGGAAAAAATAAATAAATAAAAAATAAAAATATTAAAAACATAATGTTCTTTAAAAAAAAAAAAAGACTTTCTCAGACAATCAAAAACTGAAGAATTCATTGCCAGGAGACCCAATATATTTAAGATATATTAAAAGAAGTTCTTCAGGGAGAAGGAAAACGATTCAGGTAAGAAATTCACATAAACGTAGAATTAGAGATGGAATAAATGAAGCTAAAATTACATCTTTTATTATTCGTACTTCATCTAAAAGGTAATGATTTAAAGTAATACTAAACGTATTGGGTGATTATAGCATATGGGTAATGAAATGAATGACAATAATGTCATCAGGGAAAGGAGGAAGGAATTGGGAATATTCTTACGGTACTTGCACCACACATAAAGTGAGACAGTGTTATTTGAAGGTGGATTTACATTAGTTAAAAATACACATGGCATGATTTTTTGAATATGACACCAAAAGCACAGGCAACAAAGACAAAAATAAACAAGTGGGACTACATTAAACTAAAAAGCTTCTGCAAAGCAAAGGAAACTATTAACAAAATGAAAAGGCAACCTATAGAACAAGAGAAAATATTTGCAAATCATATACCTAATAAGGGAGTAATATCCAAATATGTAAGGAACTCATACAATTCAATAGCAAAAAAACAAAAAATCCTATTAAAAAATGGGCCTTTGACCTGAATAGATATCTTTCCAAAGAAGACTAACAAACGGCCAGCAGGTATATGAAAAGGTACTCAACATCACTAATGATCAGGGAAATGCAAATCAAAATCACAATGAGATTACACCTCACACCTGTTGGGATGGCTATTATCAAAAAGACAACAGAAGGCCAGCCCGGTGGTGCAAGCGGTTAAGTCCGCGCGCTCCGCTGTGGCAGCCCGGGGTTCACTGGTTCGTATCCTGGGCGCGCACCAATGCACTGCTTGTCAAGCCATGCTGTGGTGGCGTCCCATATAAAGTGGAGGAAGATGGGCACGGATGTTAGCCCAGGGCCAGTCTTCCTCAGCAAAAAGAGGAGGATTGGCAGATGTTAGCACAGGGCTGATCTCCTCACAAAAATAAAAATTAAAATTAAAAATAAAAAAAAGACAAGAGATAAGTGTTGGCAAGGGTTTGAAGAAAAGGGAGCCTTTGTATACTGTTGGTGGGAATGCAAATTGATACAGCCATTATGGAAAACAGTATGGAGGTTCCTCAAAAAATTCAAAATGGAACTACTATATGATCCAGCAATCCCACTCTTGCATATATATCCAAAGGAAATGAAAACAGGATATCAAAATGATATCTGTACTCTCATGTTCACTGCAGCATTATTCACAATAGGCAAGATATGGAAACAACATAAGTGTCCATCAACAGATGAAAAGATAAAGAAAATGTGGTATACCTATATATACATAAATACAATGGAATATTATTCAGCCATAAAAAAGAAGGAAATCCTGCCATTTGTGACAATTATGGATGAACCTGGAGGGCATTATGCTAAGTGAAATAAGCCAAACACAGAAAGACAAATACTGTATGATGTCACTTATACATGGAATCTAAAAAAGGTGAACTGATAGAAACAAGAGAGGAGAATGGTGGTTGCCAAGGGCTGGAGGATAGAGAAAATGGGGAGGTACTGGTCACAGGGCACAAACTTTTAGTTATAAGATGAATAAATTCTGGTGATCTAACGTACAGGACAGTGACTATAGTTAATAATACCATATTGCATACTTGAAATCCGCTAAGAGAATAGACCTTAAAAAGTGTTCTCAGCAACCTAAGTGTCCATTGATGGACGAACAGATACAGAAAATGTGATACACACACACACACACACACAGAGAGAGGAATATTATTCAGCCATGAAAAAGAATAAAATCTTGCCAATTGTGACAATATGGATGGACTTTGAGGGCATTATGCTAAATGAAATAAGTCACACAGAAAAGACAAACACTGTATGATCTCAGTTATACGTGGAATCTAAAAAAAACAACAAAAACATAACACTAAGCTCACAGATACAAGAGAACAGACTGGTGGTTGCAGAGGCAGGAGTTGTGGGGTGGCCGAAATGGGTGAAGGGAGTCAAAAGGGACAAATTTCCAGTTATAAAATAAATAAGTCACGAGGATGTAATATATAGCATGGTGACTACAGTTAATAATATTGTATATTTGAAAGTTGCTGAGAGAGTAGATCTTAAAAGTTCTCATCACAAGAAAAAAATTTTGTAACTATGTATATTGACAGATATTAACTAGATTTATTGTGGTGATCATTTCACAATATATACAAATATCAAATCATTATGTTGTACATCTGAAACTAATATAATGTTACATGTCAACTACACCTCAATTAAAAAAAAGTTTTCTCATCACAAAAAAATGGTAACTATGTAAGGTGTGGATGTGTTAATAGCTTGATTTATTGTGGTGATCATTTCACAATATATACAAATATCAAATCATTATGTTGTACATCTGCAACTAATATAATGTTACATGTCAACTACACCTCAATTAAAAAAAAGTTTTCTCATCACACAAAAAAATGGTAACTATGTAAGGTGTGGATGTGTTAATTAGGTTGATTGTGGTAATCGTTTCACAATGTATACGTATATCAAATCATCATACGCCTTAAATATATACAATTTTGTCAAGTATATTTCAAAGCTGGGGAAAAAAAGAGTCAAAATGCATATAGCAAATTCTAGGGCAACCTTTTAAAAAATTTCAAGAAATATAATTGATATGCTAAGACAGGAGAGAAAATGGAATTATATAAAATGCTCAATTAAAACAGAGAAGCAGAAAAGAGGTAAAAAAAAAAAAAGAAATGAACAAACAAAACAAACAGAAAGCTAAAATTACAGTCTCCTTCCTGAAGTAGGGCACCATGGAAGCAGTAATAATAAGAAAACATCAGTAATTATTTAAAATGAAAAGAAATAATTATCCAGAATTAAACAAGGGAAAATATGAAAAGAAAAATGGCCATGGGTAGAAAAACAGGTAATAAATCAAAGAAAGGGAAAGCCATCAACCTCTTCTACCCAAAGTTTATTTTTTCTCATGAACCTAAATATAAAACCTAAAATATAGGAGACCATATAAATAACCAGCTATAGATGTATCATGATAACAAGGAGATTAAAAATAAACAAAAGGAGGGGAGCTGGCCCTGTGGCTTAGCGGTTAAGTGCACGTACTCAGCTGCTGGCGGCCTGGGTTTGGATCCCGGGCGCGCACCAATGCATCGCTTGTCCGGCCATACTGAGGTGGCGTCCCACAAACAGCAACTAAGAAGGATGAGCAACTATGACATACAACTATCTACTGGGGCTTTGGGGATAAAAAGGGGAAAAAAAAAAAAGAAGGAGGAGGATTGGCAACAGATGTTGGCTCAGGGCCGGTCTTCCTCAGCAAAAAGAGGAGGATTGGCATGGATGTTAGCTCAGGGCTGATCTTCCTCACACACACAAATAAATAAATAAACCAAAGGAAAGAAAATGTGGGACTGTCATAAACAGGGGAGTTTGGAATATTAATGAAAAACATTACTCTTGATAGTTACCACTCAGTTTTATAACCCTAAATATATTTAACAGCCTTACCTTCAATATTCAGGTATTAAATAGAAAATTAACTCCACCTTTTTAGTGAGGAAAAAAACAGCCAACTATCAAATCTGAAATAGTTAAACCAGAATCCTTAATCACAAAAAAAGTATTTCCCTACTTATTCAAAAGTAACTTTAAGACACCGGATTTTCGTCCTTTCCTTAGCTCAAGAAATGATTTTATTTTTGGCATATCCTAAATGATGATTATGAGGGCATCATGTTGAATGCACTCAATATATGGAAAGAGATCAAAACTTGAAGTCTCAAGACTAGGCTGTACCCTTTTTTCATTAGTTATGATATGAACTGTACCCAGTTAATGTAACTGCTCCCAAGTCTCAGTTCTAATTCTCACAGAGTTGATAACTCAGAGAAAATAAATATGAAAGTGCTTTGATAACTATAAATTGCCATATAAATATTAGAGAAGTATAAATCAAAGAAATGGACAGTAAATATCTGCACCATATCCTGATATTCCCCAGTGTAGGTAACTATCACTGTTAAATTATCTCCCTCTAGGAAGCCTGATGCTAATAAAAGGAAAATATCAGATAATTGAGATTTTTACATTGTAGTCTTGTATTTCATCCATAAAGGACCTGTATATTTTAATATTCCCCTGAACTGTCAATTTCTAAGAGTTTGGGAATTCTCAGGAGTAAAATAAAACAGGCTAAGAATACTAAGAGACTTAATCCAGGTATAAATGGTATTTTGAACTTTAGGGGATTATTACTCCATTGGTAAGTTATTCCATATAAACACTGTAGAGTTTTCTACTATGTTCTTATTTAAAGCAAAGCAAGAAAATAGAAAAGTCTTCTTTAACCTTTTTCAACTGTGATTCCATTTTCAGACACTCCTCCTTCTTCTGCTCCAAAGCAATTTCTAGTGTCTTAAGCCGTGAGTCCTTCTTCAGTCCTGAGGAAGCCAGGGAAGAAGCATGCTCTTTCAGATCCAAGAGTGAAGCCTAAAAGAAGCAACACAGATCTAGAATAAATACTAACTATAAACAAAAAGGGCCTTTAAAATTTTTAATTTATTTTCTTGGTGGCTTGTACTTTCTTTCTATTACCATATGCTGACATATTTCCATTTCAAGAACACAAAATGTTTTCAATATTAGCTTTAGCTTTCAAGTGCTAACTAAAATAAGATGAATTCCCAAGAAATACCAATTGAATAGTGATTTAAAGAGTTCTATGAATACATATCCATTTCCACAAAATAAATGGAAGTAGATCGAACTTTGTAAATGTAAATAGTCAAGCTTAGTAGCTACACTGACTTAAATATAAAACACTTTCCCCTTTTAGAAGAAAAATTCTACTAGGAATTTAAATTTCCATAAATTTTCCTAAAGATAATAGAAAGAAAATCCTGAGAATGTCCCTAAGGCTCATGCATTATTATCTGATCACAAGGCATTAGGCATTTTTACTATTTAGCTCACATAATGGGACTCTCCAAAAGCAAGGTCAAAGCACAGTAAGTCACCTAATTGGTCAACAATCATTAAGATTTCTCTGCCAATGTAGAGATGAAGTTTAAGTGGCAGTTTAAGAGCTGTTGTAAATAAACTGTCCTCCTTTTGCATATTCCTTTTGTCTGTCACTTTTCTTACCATTAGTACAATGTTTCTCCAAATGTAACTGGGCTTCAGTTATTTTAGGATCTATAAAAATGTCATTAACAAGTGAGAAACCAACTCTCAATACACTGAAAGAGATTAAGACTTAGAAAATAAATGATCCAATCTACTATGTCTCTGCAAAGTTTCCTGAAATATCCCTTACGGTCTTCCCAAAAGGCCTGCTCTAAGAATATTAAGAAAATCTTCCATCAATTACTTTTTTATATGTATTATGTAAACACCAACAACATATACACACAATGCACTGGCTATGCAAATGAAATAATTCCATTTTGGGATCTTAACCTCTTTCTCTGAGAGATCGCCTTGCAATAGGCTGACTTTTTCTTTCAAGTCTTTAAGATCTCTTTTGTAGTTATCAATTTCCTCTTGTTTCTCTCGCTCATCTCTGTCCCGCTGCTCCTTTAAGCGTTCAATTGTCCGCTCCTGATGAGACAGCACATAAATACATGAGAAAATTTCTTTCATACTTGTATCATATGACTGTAATTCAGCTTTTAGCTGATAAACTTTCACACTTCCATCCTCCATTCAAAAGACAGTGATAAATTGTTTTTGTTTTTTTTTTTAAAGATTTTGTTTATTTATTTTTTTCCCCCAAAGCCCCAGTAGATAGTTGTATGTCATAGTTGCACATTCTTCTAGTTGCTGTATGTGGGACGTGGCTTCAGCATGGCTGGAAAAGCGGTGCGTCAGTGGGTGCCCGGGATCCGAACCCGGGCCGCCAGCAGCGGAGCACGTGCACTTAACCGCTAAGCCACGGGGCCGGCCCAATAAATTGTTAATAATTTACTTTTTAAAGAATTCATCCTTCCTACCTATCTTGCTTTAACCAAGATCTGGTTTTGTTCTTTTGATTCCCCTAGGTTTCTTTTCCTGTAATCTCAACTAGTATTAGATGTCCCTAAAGTATTCTTTTGGAATTATCCCATTTATTCAATTCCCAAGTAACCAAAAACTTACATATATACCCTAAGGACAATAAGTAACAAATATTTCTTCTTTATAAGTACTTCACACGTTGCCTACAAGGCAATGGAAACAACTCGCAATTCATGCACTAAAGGAAGGAAAAGGTTGGGGAGATTATGATATGTTCAGCTTAAAGCATAAAGAAGGGTAAACAAAGGAGAAACCATTAAAACTTCTTTCTGTCAACAGATACTCAGGAAGTTTGAAAGTTGAAGTAATTTAAGTATATTTCTGGGTATTATTTCTGAATATATTCAGGGATCAAGACTTGATCCCTGGCAGGCAGCCTGAAGCATTCTGAATCCAAGAAGCTTAAGGAACAGTGACCCTATTCTTTTTTAAAAATCCAACTAAAATGCCCCATCAAGATTCCTTAAACCTCCTTCCAAGACATTAACACTTGTCATGTTGGGCCACTTCTTTATTTAGTCAACTATTCCTGAAAAACTAGGTTTGCTCATAAAGGCAAAATGAAATAGCAAGGCCAAGACTAGAAAAACAGCAAGTACAGTATATTAATAACTAAAATCCATGAATACATTAGGTATCAATATGGCATAGTAAAAGAGAACTAATTATACATTGCCTCCTGATGGTCAATGTCTGATATTCCCACATCCCTGAATTCTAGCTGACCATATACATAAAAAGAACTTTTCTTTTTCTTCAGAAGATAGTAAACAGGGAACATATGGCTGATTCTTTAGAAATTTCAGCCACTGCCCTCTAGTGTGGAATCCATCTTGCCCAGCAACAGATGCTTAAATTGGCAACAACGAAATGGATTTTCTTTCCCCTTAGACTATATATGTCAGCAATAGTCCAGAGAGCTCTGTTCCCTTTTGCCCAAAGGGATTTCTTCTCACTTTTATATCCAAGTCTCATCACTAGAGAAAATTTTAGATTAATGAGAAAGCAGAAGAAATGTGTCTATGAAGAGTCTGGACCAGTCACTCACTTTCTCTGCAAGGGCCTCCTCCAAAGTTGTCAAGGCAGTGTCGGTGTTGGTGGTGTCAGCCTGCAAGGATTTGACTCGTTCTTTCAAGCTGCTCATCTGCTTTTCCTTATCTCTAAGTTGCTCTTGAAGATTTTCAATCTGAGTGTGCATATACATTTAAGAGAAAAAAAGGAAATTAATACAAATACAAATAGTCACAATAAAAATCATTTTAAGTTGGAAACAGGTAGATCAGGGTTGTCTCTGAGTATAAAGGTTTTAGAACTGCACGCAAAACTTTAAACCCAGAATTTATAGCCAGAACAGAGAAAAGATGCACACATGGGTATGGGCACACACGCATACACATAAATCTCTAAAGAAATAAGGAAAGTAGGTAGGGAAAAGAGACCCACCATAAAGAGATGGGAATGGAGAGAGGAACTATACAGAGGAAAGCCATGAAAAATTGGATTACTTCCCCAAAACAACAGTGTAAATGCTGAGAGGGATTCCTTCACAAAGAATCAAGGGACAAGAGAGACTGAAACAGCTAGACAGTAAGAAAAACAAATCAGCTGTATAAAGGAAAAATTGTTCTTAAATGCTAGTGTTGTTAGATTTTTATATCATCTTTTATCTAAACAGCAAGCATTTTCAATGAAATTTCTTATTGTTATACATTCCTTCACACACATTTATATGCATTCATTTACTCAAAAAAGTATTTACTTAATTCTATACTATATGCCAGGCACTAGTGATACAAAAAAACAGGAACATACTCATTTTTATTATGTTATAAGATGACAAGAGAACCCCGCATTATGTAGCTGGATCCAAGCTATCGAGGGGCTTGTGTGCCATCCTAAAGAGCACAAATTTTATTCTATACAGATGGGAACTATTAGAGATTTTTAAGCAAAGAAATGGTCTGGTCAGTTCTGCATTTGAGATAGATAATTCTGATGGCTGTGGAGAAGAAATTTAAGGGAACTTGCATGGAGACAAGCAAGACAATTAGATTTTATCAATTCAGGTTAAGAGACTTTGGAGACTAAATGAGCTAAGAGAGATGGAAAAGAGGGTATGGGTTTGAGAAACAGTGTGGAAATAGCATTTATCACTAGGGAGATTCAAGTACACATAATGAAAAATATTAAACAAAAATATGAAGGAATTGTAGAGAGATATTCTTAATAAACTAGAGGAAAACAATAAGGCAATTATTCTAGAACTCACAAACTTCATTCAATCTCTCAACACATATTTGAGCTCCTGCTATGTGCCAGGCATTTTTCTAGGTGTTGCAGACATAGAAGTAATCAAAATAGGCAAAAATCCCTACCCTCAAAGAGCTTACATCCTAATATGGTAGACAATAAATGAATGAATGAAATGAACATAGTATGTAGGATGGTGATAAGTTCTATGGAGAAAAACAAAGCAAGAGAATATAATCATAATCTCCTGTTGAGCTAAAATCAGAACTAGCTAGTTTATTTTACATGGCTTTCAAAAAGCAACATTAATGTTATCTCCTTTGGGAAGACTTTCTTGCTCTTACCCCATTAGATGATCTCTGTCTGTACTCCATCACACATATACATGTTAAATATACATACACACACATACATACTTATCTCCATTCTTTATCTATATATTTATCACATTTATCTCCAATATTCCACCTATCTATATATTACAACATTAATCCTTAACCATACTGTAATTATTTGTTTTATACATGTCTCCACAAATAGACTGGATCCTGCCCCCTACCCAGTTTTGTATCTTCATATCTGGCACACATCAGTTCTATAATAAATATTGGTTCACTAATCAGTAAATGAATAATATATAAGCTTGGACCTTTACAAACTATATTTAGGCATACACATAAACTCCTGCCAAGAAAGGAACTACAAAAGATCCCTAGATCCAACCTTCGGATAATTTCCTGCATTAATCAACTTAGTATACGCTCTTTAAGGGTCCGCTTCATTCCACAGGGGAAGAAAAAAAAGTCCCTCTCTAGAGTCAATGTGAATTCCACAACCAGAACAAATAAGCTAAGCAAAAAGATTTAATAATTTAGAATAGGGTACTACGAACACTGTAAGGCTTGGATTTTCATTCTTTAACAAAGACAAAATCATACAGGTAAACCACTAAAATGGGCTCCAGTCTTTTCATCACTAATAAAAGTCTAAAGCCTATTGTGAGAGAAAAGACCATCAGAGATGAAAAGCATTAATCTTCCTTTAGTTAATCAGACACTACTATTGGAATCTCATATGGATCAATATGGATCAATAGTAGTGGTAAACTCACAACCGCTAAAGAGAGTTTTGCCACTCAAAAATCTAGTATTCCATATACATAGAGAATGCAATGACCTGGTATTCACATGTTTAAACAGCTGTGCAGATCATTCCAGTTGCTAACATATAAACCTTATACAAAGACAAGATATGATCATGCTGTTGATTAGACTTTCTTATCAAGAAAGAGCTGGGGCCGGCCCGGTGGCATACTGGTTAAGTTCGTGTGCTCCGCTTTGGTGGCCTGGGGTTCATAAGTTTGGATCCCGGACACGGACCTACGCACCGCTCATCAAGGCAGGCATCCCACATATAAAGTAGAGGAAGATGGGCATGCATGTTAGCCCAGGGCTAATCTTCCTCAGCAAAAAGAGGAGGATTGGCAAAGGATGTTAGCTCAGGGCTAACATTCCTCAGCAAAAAGAGGAGGATTGGCAAAGGATGTTAGCTCAGGGCTAACCTTCCTCACCAAAAAAAAATTAAAAAAGAGCGGTACTAGAACCATTATTTAAAATGAAATTGCACAGGGCCGGCCCTGTGGCTTGGTGGTTAAGTGCGCGCGCTGCAATGCTGGTGGCCCGGGTTCAGATCCCGGGTGCGCATCGAGGCACCACTTCTCCGTCCATCCTGAGGCCGAGTCCCACATACAGCAACTAGAAGGATGTGCAGCTATGACATACAACTATCTACTGGGGCTTTGGGGGGAAAAAATAAAATAAATTAAAAAAAAATTAAAAAAAAAAAAATCTTTAAAATGAAATTGCACAGAACCAACCAAGCTTTACATACAAGAAAACATATTTGTTTTATGAGTCCACTTAATATACAAATAGCCCTTACATGCATAATAAGAATAATACCCTTCTTTCTCCTCCATCATTAGTATCTAAGAAAGAAATTGAGAGGTTAAACTGTTAACAATTCCATTTGTATAATTTATATGTAGTCGAACTATTAAAGTAATCCATTATTCTTTGCTGGCAAAAACTTTTCCTAATATACGCAAGTGCAGAAGCTGCTAGTTTAGTAAAAATTTAGTAAAATCCACATCAACAAGTTCTCCCTAAGCTACTTTCTTCTTCAATTACCCAGCTGTCTAAACAAATTGACTGTTGAGTTGGAAGAGAGGAAAGGATGGCTATTCTTGGACTCCTATTTACTTCTAAGGGGAGGAATAAACATTCCATAGTGAAAGGAACTGACAAAATGAAGAACAGTGGACACTAAAATTGCCTCCTTTGGGCTAGTTGCCATCAGTGAGGAAGACTTGAAATAGACACAGATATGTACAAACTAGCTGCATAAGCATTGAACAAACCCAAAAGATGCTGTGTGTGGTGTGTCGGAGGAGGGGTGTGTACAAAAATACTTTTCATTTACCCAGCATCATGGTGGATAACAGTTGAGCCCTACTGAAAGCTCCTTTTACATATCCTCGCATTGGCTGTGATTCAATTGTGCCTTTTGATCAAGGATCTCCAGGTTTACGTGTGTCACTAACCAGCTGGTGTATGAATGCTACCAGATTATTCTTGCCATTATTCTCCTCTTTTTCACTAACCTAATGTGGAGGTTGTAAAAGCTGTTCTCCCTGATAGTTCCATATCATATCACTTCAGTATTTATTATGCAATTTCCTTAAAATACACAGTGGCGATCCTATTCTATACTCAGTTCAATTGTCCACAGGATCTGAAATATACGATTTACAAAAAGTTTTGAATACAACAGCCAAGAGAAAAACTGGATCAGTTATGCACATTGAATATTAATGATAAAGATTATTGTTTGGAATCATGTTAAGTGAAAAAATACTCCTTTAAATATCCTAAAGAATATTCTAAAAAAAATTAGAATATCCTAAAAAAAACCCTCTCCATTTTGTAGGAACAGAAACCACAGAATCTCTAAAATAACAATATGATAACAATAACAACAACAAAAATAATAATAATGGTGGTGGTGGTGGTGGTGAGGAAGAAGTAGTGGTGGTAACAGGGGCCACTAACACTTAAAAAGAGTGTTAACAGGCACGCGTCAGGTACTGTTGTAAGAACTTCATAGTTAACAACTATTTAAGCATCACCACAAGACTATGAGATAATCACTTGGCAATCTAGCTCCAGAATCCTATTCCTTTTTTTTTTTTTTTTGTGAGGAAGATTAGCCCTGAGCTAGTATCCGTTGCCAATCCTCCTCTTTTTGCGAAGGAAGATTGGCCCTGGGCTAACATCCGTGCCCATCTTCCTTTACTTTATACGGGACGTCGCCACAGCATGGCTTAATAAGCGGTGCGTAAGTCCACACCCGGGATCTGAACCTGCAAATCCTGGGCTGCCGAAGTGGAGCGTGCGAACTTAACCACTATGCCACCGGGCCAGCCCCCAGAACCCTATCCTTAGTCACTATGCTATAAATAATATGTTCTATGATAAACGAAAAAAAGAAAAACAATCACACAAAGGTGACCCTAGCATCTTTCCATAAACTATGGAAAACAGACTATTTTAATAATACCACGATATTGAAATTCTGATATCAAGTATCTTTGGCTTTGCCCATCAGCTTTAGTGTTTTGTGTTTGGATATACATTTGTCCCATGGAAGATGTACTTTTGCATTTGCAGTGGTTTGGTAAATCCACCCTTCATTCTTTGCTTCAGTAAGGGATAACGTTTTAATGTAAGTGACCATAGTAATAATATACTATGTTACCCCCTGACTTTCAAGGGGTAGAAGGAAACTAGTTTACTTATATACATGGACTAAGGAATACTTGACAATGAAACAGCTAAAAAGCTTTTCTTCCTTTTCTTAAATAACTTATTTTTAATA